GGGAGACAACTGAGAGTAAGAACATGACCATATTTGCAGTTTTGAAAGATTAATGTGTCTACTGTGAGGAGAATGGTCATTAGTGGGTAATTCTGGAGGACAGGGAGGCCAGGTGAAAGACTGTCACAATGATCCACATAAAACAATAGCAGTCTGAAGAAGACAAGTTGTTTGTGGGTAGAAAAACTTGGATGGAGCCAATACGTTTAATAGAAAAGAGGAAGAAATCCTGATTTGGTGAATGTGGAAGTGAGAGAAAAGAGAGCATCAAGGATTAGATAGAGAGCAACTAGGGTGGTAGCAGTTGCCAGTTCCTGAAATGAGTAATCACACGGAGGATTCATTTAGAGGACATAAAGTGGCCCCATTGAGAAACACTAATTTATAGTATAAGCTCTTAAATTTATGTTGAGTTTAAGAATTCTTCCATTAATGGAACTGAAGAATACAATACAGGAACTCCAAGAAGTATGCACAGGTTTAAACACTCGAATTGTTCAAGCAGAAGAAAGGATATCAGAGGTCAAAGTCCAACTTAATGAAATAAAACAAGAAGACAAGATTAGAGAACAAAGGATAAAAAGGAATGAGCAAAGTCTACAAGAAATGTGGGACTATGTGAAAAGACCAAATTTACATTCGATAGGTGTACCTGAATGCGATGGACAGAATGAATCCAAGCTGGAAAATACCCTTCAGGATATTATTCAGGAAAATTTTCCTAAACTAGCAAAGCAGGTCAATATTCAACCCCAGGTAATACAGAGAACACCACAAAGATATTCCTCAAGAAGAGCAACCCCAAGGCACATAATCGTTAGATTCACCAGGGTTGAAACGAAGGAGAAAATACTAAGGGCAGCCAGAGAGAAAGGTCAGGTTACCCACAAAGGCAAGCCTATCAGACTTACAGCGGATCTCTCAGCAGAAACCCTACAAGCCAGAAGAGAGTGGGGGCCAATATTCAACATCCTCAAAGAACAGAACCTTCAGCCCAGAATTTCATATCCAGCCAAACTAAGCTTCACAACTGAAGGAAAAATACAATCTTTTATGAACAAGCAAGAACTCAGAGATTTTATTACCACCAGGCCTGCTTTACAAGAGCTTCTGAAAGAAGCATTACACACAGAAAGAAACAACCAGTATTAGCCTTTCTAAAAATATACCAAAAAGTAAAGAGCACCAACATAAAGAAGAATTTACATCAATGAATAGATAAAACAGCCAGTTAACATCAAATGGCAGTAACCCTAAATCTAAATCGACTAAATCCCCCAATCAAAAGACACAGCCAAAACCCAACGGCATGTTACATCCAGACCTGTTTCACATGCAAGGATACACAAAGACTCAAAACAAAGGGATGGAGAAAGATTTACCAACCAAATGGAGAGCAAAAATAAATAAATTAATAAATAAAAAGCAGGAGTTGCAATTCTCGTATCGGATAAAATAGATTTTAAAGCAACAAACGTATAGTGGTAAAAGAATCAATGCAACAACAAGAGCTAACGATCCTAACACCCAGATACATAGAGACTTAGATTCAATGAGACAGAAAATTAATAAGGATATCAAGGACTCGAACTCAGATCTGGAACAAGTAAACTTAATAAATATTTATAGAGCTCTCCACTTCAAATACACAAAATATACATTCTTGTCAATACCACATCACACCTACTCATAGGTTTAAATGAAACACTGATTGGCCATTATTAATACCCACTTTTTTTCAGAATAAAGCAATATTTCCATTCACCCTCCTTCTTTCTCTTCCTCTTTCTCCCTCTCCTTTACTCATTTTTTTTTTCTTTCCTTCTCTCAAAAATAAAAATTAAATAAATAAATAAAAAAGAAATCAACTTGTAAACCTCTAGATCCAGGTCAGCAATGCCTCTCTCATTGCTTGATTTCCTTCCTTCCCTTCCCTCTCTCCCTCCCTCCCTCCCCCTTCCTTCCTTCCTTCCTTCCTTCTTTCCTTCCTTCCTTCCTTCCTTCCTTCATCCCTTTCTTCCTCCCTCCCTTCCTCCTTCCCTCCCTTCCTGCCTTCCTTCCTTCCTCCTTCCCTCCCTTCCTGCCTTCCTCCCTTCCTCCCAAAAAAAAAAAAAAAAAGAATTCTTGGAACTACTGGACAAAGATGTCAAGTAGATAGTTGTAGAGATAATGTGAAGCTCAGGTGAGAAAGTTTGGGATTGATTTAAGACATAGATGGTATTCCAGGCCATGGGTAGGAGGTATGCACTCAGAGAGAACACATATAGAGAAAAAAAACAGGACAGGAAAGAAATCTGAAACACATCTACAATTAACATATGGAGAGATGAATAAGAGGATGCAAAGCACCACCATCTCCATTAAGTATCTTATGTAATGAACTATTTGCACAATTCTCACCAGATTCATAGTCCACAACTAAATAGAAACACTGTGCCAGCCAAATATTTTCAACATTTCAAAAGTATTTTAACAATCCATGCCCCTGGGAATTGCTATTCTCTCATCTTTTCTGTTGGCCTTCCCTAGGTTTTACAGTAATCATTTCCATTTCTTTCTCAGCTCCCATTTGGCTCCTACCCCTTTTAATTATTTCTCTCAACTTAAGAAGAATAAATATTTGTTTATCAATAGTTTGCTATTAAGGCAAGCATGTTTTTTCTTCATCTGGGTTATGAGGTTTCTATGGGGGCTTGTTTTACCTTGTGCCAGCTTCACTGTGAACCAGGCCCAGATTACTGGAGCCAAAGGTCTGGTTAGTTGGGCCTGGCAACAGTCCAGAATCATTGCCAATATAATAAAGAGAGGTGCAATATCAATGCAGCTTCAGAAGGTTCTCAGGCTGGACATGGGATTCCCAGGGTTCATGAATTTGTTAGCCGGTGATATAGCACACATTGTCAACTAACATAAAACTAGAAGGTACTAGAACCCTTCTATTTTACTACACTGACAACTTAAATTGGGGGGATGTAACTTCCTAATTCAACAAGTTAGGACTGTGTTTTGTAATTCTTGTTAATTAATGAAAATTAAGTATGGGCATCAGGACTAAAACAAGATTGGAGAAAGGAAGTTATTGGATTAGCTGTCAGTAAATAACAAGTATGACTCCAGAATAGCCAGATTTTCTCACTGGATTCCTTTCACTGGAATCAGATCTGGCAGATGTAGTTCCACTGCAGTCAGCAAATGTAAGCCATTGTAAAGAAAGCTAATAGTATGCAAAATATAAAGATAAGATTATCTACTTTGCACAGCTGTGCAAATTGTGCATTGCATCTATGGGTGAACTAATCATATCATAGACGTTGAAGATTTCTGTATTTATTATGGCAATTTTCCATTAGAGGGTAGTAAAGTGTTTTGTGCTAATAAATTGTATATTTGGTAGCAATTTTTTGGCCAGTAGCAGTGACTTAAAGAAGGAATGCCTTCTTCTAATTTTCTGGCTAGTGGTGGCCCTAAGTTATCCATCCTAGATGTTTTAAAAATCAGGGCACTCCCAAATTTTATCAAGTATTTTGAGTGTTTCCAACTGATGACCAAATTTCAATATTAAGTCTTGTCACCTCAGGCAAGCCAATTAACTTTGTGAGGCACATTTTCTGTTCTGTAAAATCAGAGGCTTGGCCAAATGATTGTTGTGGTTTTTTCACCTCTTCAACCACCTTATGCAGCAGATAAATCTATGACTTGTTTAAGTAGCATGAATCTTTGAGGAGTCTTCCAAAGGTATCCAATAAATTGAAAAAAAAAAATCAAAGTTAAAATCTCATTAACTTAAACTTCAGGCAAAAACTGTATTGTAAAATAGGGAAGAACAACCCACTGTGTTTTAACATCCATTAAATGGCAAGTATTCCTCTTTCACTATCTCATTAATTTTTATAATCATCTTGGGAGTTACTGTTATCCTCGTTTCATAAGGAAGAGAATAGCTAGTATGTTGTAGAGCCGATCAGTGTCTAGTATGATCTAGTGTCTCATTAATCTAGAACAAGGAAAAATGGATAACACAAATATTGGTATTATCTAAAAAAGAGCAAAAGAAGCAGAAAGATCTGAAAGATGTGAGCATTAAGTCTGCCAGAATGGTAAGACCAGGGATCCACAAGCTGGCTCGAGGGTCAAGTCTGCCTATCACTTGTTCTTACAAACAAGGTTTTACTGAAACACAACCATACATGTTTGTTTATGTACTGTTTATGGCTGCTTTCACAATATAGAGACAGAAATGAGCAGCTGTGATATCTTTGTTTAGCAAAACCTAAAATGTTTATATCTGACCTTCACAAAAAAAAAATTGTGGACCCCTGGTAAAAGTCTATGTTCACATGCTTATAACCATAATCTGCTCATTCATTCCCAAACCCTATCACTACCACCTTTATTAAAGGTTCTACAGGAAAATTTGTTATTGAGGGATAATGTAGTGTTTAATCACATATAGCTGTATTAAAGCTTACTGACATTGCCTTTTCTATTACCACCAACACTAACATTAGATCAGCTCTACAAATCAAATGCCCTTCAATTCTCATTGTTATCATAAAGCACAAACCAATTAACTACACTGAAAACTAAACTAGGTCCCCTTTTCTACACAAGGTGCAAGTTTATCAGTTCCCAATTAATCTGGGCATCGTTTTGCAGTGTGAAATCAATATTACACAAGTTGTATTTCCTAATCCATTGGGTTAAATTGAATGTCATGGTAAGAAAAAAAAATTCCACAACAAAATGTTTTTACTTATTAATAGATTATTGATCTCCATATATTATCTGTGACAGGTGGGACCAGGCCTTAATCAACTTTGTTTTCAAATAGCAGGAGATGTTTTCTCAACTGTCATATACCTCACACAAAATACCTGCTTCTGTTGAGGGCAGAATTAGTTTCACATGCCAGGATATGAGCACAGTTTGTGAAGGTCAAACAGGTGCTTACTTTGTATCGCTAAAGGCAAGAGATTTTCCCCAAGAAGCAAATAAATAAATCGTATTTGTAATTTTTTTTATAACAACTTGAGATAAAATCCACATACCACACAGTTCAAACATTCAAAGTATACAATTCATAGTTTTTAGTACATTCAGAGTTGTGCCACCATTACTACAATCAATTCTACAACGTTTACACAACCCCAGAAAGAAACCCCATACTAATCAGCAGTCACTCCATTTTCCTCTCCAACCCCTCAGCCTAACAAACCACTAATCTACCTTCTCTATATATATATTTGCCTGTTCTGGACATTTCATATAAATGAAATCATATATTATGTGGCCTTTTGAGTCTAGCATTCTTCACTCGGCACCTTTTTGAGGTTTGTCTATGTTGTGGTACACATCAGTACTTCAGCTCATGTTTATTGCTGAATAATATTCCTTGTATGGATATGCCACATTTTGTTTATTCATTTATTAGTTGATGGAAATTAGGGCTGCTTCAATTTTGGGTTATTATGAATAATTCTGCAAAGAATATCTGTGCACAAGTTTTTGTGTAGACATTTGTTTTTATATTTCTTGAGTATCCACCAACAGCATATAAAGGTTCCAATTTATCTGCATCCTCACCAACACTTGATAATATCTCTTTAATTACATAACTATTCTGGTAAGTACAAAGTGATATTTCATTGGAGATCTTACTTGCATTTCCTTGATGGAAAATGACGTTGAGAATCTTTACATGTGCTTATTTGCCTTTTGTATACCTTCTTTGGAGAACTGTCAATTCAGACCTTTTGTCAATTTTTAAAAATTGAATTATATGCCTTTAACTGTTGTTGCAACAGTTCTTTATATATTCTAAATACAAATTTCTCCATTCTTAATACATGATTTTAAAAAATTTCTCTCTTTCTGTGAGTTGTATTTTTGCTTTCTTGATAGTGTCCTTGGAAACACAAATGTTTTTAATTTTGATGATGTCACATTTACCTATTTTCTTCTTTTGTTGCTTGTGATTTAGTGATTTGTTGCTTATGATTTATTTAAGAAATCATTGCCTAATTCAAAGTCAGGAAAATTTATGCTATATTTTCTTCTTAGATATTTATAGTATTAGTTCTTACATTTAGATTTAAAGTCAACTTTGAGTTAATTTTTATATGCAATATGAGGTAGGAGTCCAATTTCAATATTTTGCGTATGGATAGCAACATTTCCAAGCACCATTCAATGAAAAAGAATATTACTTAATTGTCTGTCCTAGCACCCTTTTCAAAAGTCAGTTGACCATAAATGTCAGAAATATTTCTGGATCCTTTTTTTCTTTTTTTAGTCAGGGTCTAACTCTGTCATCCAGGCTGCATTGCAGTGATCCAGTTACAGCTCATTGCAGCCCAGAATTTTGGGGTCAAGCCATCCTTTCACCTCAGCCTCCTGAGTATCTGAGACCACAGATGCATGTCATCACAGCCAGCTGTTTGTTTGTTTGCTTGTTTGTTTTTGTAGAGATGGGATCTCACTGCTTCCCAGGCTGGTCTCCTGGCCCCTAGCCTTTCTGCCTCAAACTTCTGAAGGTTTGGGACTATACGCACGAGCCACCAAGCTTTTCCATTGTTGAAAATTAAATTGTTTTCTTAATATCTTTTTTATTTATTCCTTGATACTATATCTAAAGATAATCAATTTCTGTATATTTAATGCTGCATCCTGTGACTTTGCTGTGAATTTGCATTATTTCTAATGAACAAATTCATTAGAAGTAATAAATTTATTCATTATTTCTAATGTTTTGTTTTTTTAGATCATGTCTTTGGATTTTCTATAGCTTTCCTTTGGATTCATATGTATAAAATCACAATATCATCTCCCATCTCTACTTAGTTATACTTCTTCCTTTCCAATCTAGATGTCTTTTGTTTGATTTTCTTGCCTAATTGCCCCTTCTTGACTATCCAGTACAAGTTGAATAGAAATGGGCAATGCAGACATCCTTGTCTTACTTCTGATCTCAGGGGGCAATAATCCAATCTTTCAACATTAAGTATGATGCTAGCTGTGGGTTTTTCATAGATGTTCTTTATCAGGTTGAGGAAGTTTTCCTCTATTCCTAGTTTATTGAGGTGTTTCAATTTTTTTTTATTATTGTGAAAGCGTGTTGTATTTTATTAAACACTTTTTTCTGTGCCTAATGAGGTGATCTTGTAAACTGTGATTCAGTGTTGTCTATTCTCATTTCCAAACATTCAAGAGAAAAATATAACAAACTACATTTACTAAATAAATTGTAACTTTACAAAAAGGGCATAAAATAGCATTTTGGCAAAGACGTACATAGGTAATCTAAAGCTAACTGTATCAATTTAAAAAATACAAAAATATAGGTTTATGAGGAAATTTTTTCTGACTAAAAAAGTAAAATCTCATCTGCCGATTATAGGACAATGTGTTCTTGTGAGAAAGAGGTGGCACAATAAATTAGCAAATAGCACAATCATCACTTTCACATACGTATTTGTAAAATACAGGGTAGAATTATTAAAGTTCTCTGGTAGTGGGTGGCCTCTCCTGTTTCAAACACTTCCATATTAAAATAAAGATTTATAGTTCAAAAACAACATTGTGTTAACTTAACCAAAACATATTATGCTTTATACTTTAAAACAGCACATTAGCAAGTCCATTTATCACAGACATCTTCAGAGCTGTATTGCCTGGGAAGAAAAAATTGAAATATAATTCCCAATTATGGTTTAATTATACTCTGTGTAGTATATATAATGCCTTCTGCTTTAATTCGCTCCAATATTGGTCCATAGATCTCCTTTGAAAATGGCCCCATTAGGCCTTTGGCTCCAATTTCACCTGGAAGAAAATAAACGTGCAATTACCATTTTAAAGGTAGTGTCAGAGGTTAACTTTTCCCAGCAAGAGTCTCCACAAAGAAGGTATCACCCTAGAAGCAAACTCAGAGTCAATGAATTCTTGGAGACCCAGGCATTTTTTTTTTTTTTTTTTTTTTGAGACGGAGTTTCACTCCTGTTACTCAGGCTGGAGTGCAATGGCGCGATCTTGGCTCACCGCAACCTCCACCTCCTGGGCTCAGGCAATTCTCTTGCCTCAGCCTCCTGGGTAGCTGGGATTACAGGCACGCGCCACCGTGCCCAGCTAATTTTTTGTATTTTAAGTAGAGACGGGGTTTCACCATGTTGACCAGGATGGTGTCGAACTCTTGACCTTGTGATCCACCCGCCTCGGCCTCCCAAAGTGCTGGGATTACAGGCGTGAGCCACCGCACCCAGCCGGCATTTTTAAAGTAGCTGCTTAATGTCCCCTAGTAAATTATTACTTAGTCAACACTTTGTAAGGAAAAGGAGTCAATTTTAGATTGAAAGGACAGCTGGACCTAAAGATACTGTCAGAATTTGTACACTTACCTGCACTAATTACTGCCAAGACAATCAGAGAATAAAATAAAGTAAGTAGTTAAGTAAATCTGACTGGTTGGTTTAACTTGCTAATGTCATTTTTTTTAAAAAGTCAAGACACCAACAGAATGAGTTGTAACAAGTTTGATTATATGGGCACAGGTACCTGTTAGTATGGTTGAAACACAGAACCTGGGCACTCTCTCATTAGAGGCCACAATAACCCCAACTTTTGTCACTTACTTCTTCGCTGATTCCTCAATAACTAAGGTGGTCATTTAATTTGACATTAGCTGATGTGCTATTATACATGTTTTCTCGTCATTTCACATTTATATGCTTTGACATTTTCTACTTCCTTCATGCTTTCTTGAGGACAAACAGAGGCAATGCTTATTGAATGTCTACGTGATCTTCTAGGGCAAGTGGAGAATTGAAATTTGTATTCTTTTAGTCTAAAATATTTATTGAGTATTAATAATACGCTGAGATATGAAGACAGTAAAACTTAACCTACATTCTTGAGAATCTGGAGTGAATATCTCCACTCCCAACATGGCAAAGAATAAGGAAAGAAAGGAAGGAAGTTACCATTACCTGGGGACCCCTCTATGTGGCAGCAGCTTTATGTATTATATCAGTTAAGTGTCACAACAGCTCTATGAAATAGGGATGGCAATACCCACTTTAAAGAAAAGGAAACTCTTAGAGGTGCTTAGTAACTTGCAGCCCATCACTCAGCCCCCTTGTAATTGAGCTAGGGTGGAAATCAGGTCTATCTCCAAAGGCCACATGCTTTACTCACCACAAGGGGACCTCCCAGGCAGTCAGCACTTGGATCTTCTAAGATGGCTCACTTTTAGTGAATGCCTGTGTTATGCTCAAGAGCAACGACCTGATGTCCCCACATCAAATGACTTGGATGTGATATGGAGACAGACTCAGTCCTCAAATGAACAGACTTACCGTCAAGCAACATTTTGGCTGCCATGGCAGTAGGTAACCCCACAGTTTTAGCCATGGCTGAAAAGCCATTGATGTCCCCATAAACCACAAGATCAATCGTTTTATTTTCTAAATGTCCAGAAGGATGTCTGATTCCAAAGCTGTCTCTCATCACAATCATATCTTTTTCTTCGGGGCCTTAAAACAAATAAAGACAAGTAAAAATGCCACTACCATTACAACTCAAATCTTGTAAATCATCTTCTCCTCCTGCCCTGCTGGTCTTACAAGCTTTCCCTCCTTTTATATGTGATCACTAGACAATTATTTACACAGCTTTTAGCCCAAAGTCAAAGTGAAAATCTCAAGGAAATTAGAACTGTGATCTCATTCCTTCATCCAGGTTGGCATCACTGCACCCTTTTTACAGACACAAAAGCACTGCTATAAAAGCCTTTCACTAAGCTCCAAAAATGCTTCTTTGGCATTTGCCTAAAGCTTTAAAAATAAAAAGTAAAACTATTTTTTCCTTTCTCATATTAACAAAGTTTATTTTTACCTAATAATTCTCAAATTCCTCCCCCTGAAGAAAGAGTCCAATTGCCTTTTTCTTTCCATTCCTGCTGCTTGGCCCCAACCCTCCAGTACAATTATCTGCACTGACTCTACCTTATAATTCTTCTTCAGGTATGTTTATCTAATATTTCATGGCCTACCATAGGAAAGCTTCATGACCAAATGCTTGGAGAGGGCATCCACAATGGAATCTGCCTGAGGGACTTGTTCATCCCCAAGTAAGCCCAACCTGAAAAGCACAAGAGAGGGCTGCATTAGTTCAAGTCCTATACATGTTCTCATTTGGGAAGCAAAAGGAAGCTCCTTGAATTTAATCTTGAAAGGGCAGAATTACAAGATAGTAACTTAAGTTGTAGATTCTCCTAAAATGTAAAATTACAATAACAATAGCAATGTTTTAACCTTCAAAATCATCTCCAGACTCACCCAGCCACTGCTTCCTGGAGTAGGCAGAGATGAGGCATTGTAACCCCATGTTCTCACACAGCTCTTCATAAGTTATAGGTTAGTTCTCCAACATTAAGTATACCAGCAGGATGCCAGAGTCATATGAAAGAATGTTTTAAAGTAATATTCTCTGACTACTCAGAGAATCTCCTACAGGAAAGGAAAAATATCCCACTTTGCTTGGGAACTTAGTGGTAAGTGTTTCCAAGTAGGTATTTCTCAAATTATAATTGCCATTGAGCTTCTGTCTTTATCTACTCTTTATGTCCACATGAGCATGGCACATGGCAATTTCTCTACCCACATTAGAGCAAAAAATTAATAAAAGATGAATGTAAAATATTTAACTTTTGTTTGAGTAGAAATTAACAATCATTGATCCAACATATTTTGCTCTAAGTTGAGTGGTGGGTGCCTACCATTCAGCGGCCTCCAGCTGGGTATTGTCTCCTCCAAGTTTCTTAAGAACAGCATCCTTCAACACATTGTGTTCAGAGGAGGGTGAAATCCCAACTAGGTCACAGAGGAGTTCTTTCTGGTCAGAAAAATAAAGACAACATTTCTAAGTCCCTATCAATTTTTTTTTAACTAACTAAAAAATTATCCTACTAAAACACTGAACTTCAAATACACCTCGAATTTCAAAATTAGAAATAATTGAAAATAGGAAATTTTAATACATACACATACATACACACATCTACACATCTACAATTATTAAATGGATGCTATTCCAGAATATTTCAGCAATAAAAATGGGTCCTAAGATCAACTCAATACAAAACAGATGGTAAAATTCTTACCAGCATATTTCCTGCCTTTGTGTATCCTATCACTTTTTTTTTTAACCCATTCTCCCCCTACCCTCCAGCAGTCCATTTTGACCAGGATAAAGTGGAAAAGGCTTACTGCAGTGGTTGCCAGTAGCAACTCAGGTTCTTTTGTAGGCTCAAGAGATGAGAAAGACCTTGCAGGTAATAAAATCTCAAAGGAAGAACACTTAAACAGTCACCAGTTTTTTCTACTTTCAAAACAAGACTTTTTCTAGGCTCCCAAAGGAAATGCTATGCTCTAGATCGGGAGTCAACAAACTGGCTCACAGACCAAATTTGTCTCACTAAATGTTTTATTAAATAAAACTTTATTGAAATGCAGTTATGCTCATTGATTTGTGTCTCATCTATGGGAGAACTGAGTGGTACTGACAGAGACTATATGGCCCGTAAAGTCTAAAGCATTTACAGTCTGGTCCTTTACAAAAAAGACCATCCCTAAGAATGCCCGCACCAACCTTCCCAAGCCAGCTGCCTCAACCCCAGGTTCCCTCTGTAGATTTTTGTTTACTCCTTTCCAATGAGTAAATTTGTGAAAAGTAACACTTAGATTCACAAATGCACACACACACACACACATACACACAAAATGAACGTAAAAGCAACTGGCTAACACAAAGAAATGATGAATGCTTCAGGTGGTAGACACCTCATTTACCCTGATGAGGTTATTACACATTGCACGCCTGTTTCAAAATATCTCATGTCCCCCATTAATATATATACCTACTATGTACCCATAAAAAATTAAAAAAAAATTTTTTTAAACTAGCTAGCAAGAATACCAAAACCTTTTTGAGATGCAATGGAATTAGCAACATTGGTCCTTTTCTCCTTGTGATACATTTCTGGCATTTCTATTGGAATATGGGCACACTAGTTTAAGCTGAATGACCAGCTGGTAAGGAGTTAATTCTGAGCAGTTAGTGGAAGCTCTACTTCACATTCAGTCCCAAGCCTCCAAAGTTCATTCCAACTCTGAGGCCTTAAGATTTTGGTACAACAGTTAGACGCAAAGTTCTGTAACTGAAACTTTAATCACTCATGATTATAAGAAGCCAAATGAGAGTGTTGACAAAATTTGGAGGTTGGGAATCCAGTTCTGTAATACACTACTAACTCTCCTGGATTCTCACTTTCAGGAAGCCCAAGTGACTCCCATCACTGGGTCACCTCTTAGACAACTGGAAGAGACCAGAGCTTAATGCCCAGAGCAAATGCATCTCTTATCACAGCTCAAGGAGCCATCAAATGGTATAAGTTGCTACAGGAAACAGGCGAGCTATGTGTCAGCCCCACACCCTCTCTATTCTTCCATTAACAGTGAAGGGAAAGTGAACTTTGGAATTAGGATTTATCTTCCTATATATAAGCTAAAAAATGGGTTCTTTTGCTGGTTCAAAGCAGAGTTCACCCCTGACCATTTTGGAAGGCATTTCTAAGAGCAGCAGATAGCATGTAATTCCGGAGTCACTCACCCAGCTGAGAGGGTTGGCCTCAGGTTTAAAGGCAGGAAACGCTTCTCTGTTTATAAGACCTAATTTTACAAATCCATTCAAAGCTTTCATATATCCCTGAAACAAGAATTAATAAGCAGTATATAAAATTTTTCTCTTCCAATAAAAAAATAAAATATTTTTGAACAGAGGGTTCTATCTTTGTAACTAATTCAGAAAGTAAGTATTTATATTGATGATATGAATTGATATGAATGCTACAGCTCTTTTAGGATTTGTCTAGCATTATTTCCTGTCTTTACTGGAAACCTCTCCCCACCCTCCACCAAAAAAAAAAAAAATTGAGGATATAGATACAACGAATTTCAAGCTCAAACTGAGATCAGTAGTGTTGTAACAACTGCACTCGTTTATATAAAAGACCTTGCAAATCTTAGGTCTTTAATTCTGTTTCTTGGTAACATGTGAATGGAATTTCCTGGTAGCATAAGGGCAAATTTCCTTATGTGTTATATGCTGCCAGCTCAGGGGAATATATTCAATAGAACAGTCAGTTGAGCTCCTTCTTATAATGGGAGGAGGAACCTGTAAGAATATCCTCCTCAAAAAATAATCCATTCTACTGAGTAGAGCCACTACCCGCAAGATATATGGGAAGCAGAAAACATGGTAGGAATCAGAGAGATTTTTCTAAGATACAATGATATTGCTACTCTGATATAAATTCCTCATATGTCCTTCATTGTCTACAAAACAAACCTGAGGTCCCTGGTACATTATGTAAAATCCATCACAATATGCTCATCTAGCCTAACTCACAGATCTCCACTTCCACTATTCCCCAAATTTGCAGTTTTCTTCCAGAAACCAGGGCCTCTGTATATGCTGCTCCTGTATCTGGAATGTGTTGGCCACACTTCTTCACTTATGAAATGTTTTCTCCTCCCTTCAGACCCAGTTTAACACCTCTTTTGAGTCCCCTAGGTGAGTGGGGCCTCCCTTCTTGTAGTCTTCTGTATATACCTTTAACAGCAATTAATATAGCTTGAAATTAATTGTCTATTCAGCTGCTATACTGTAGGTATTAAAAGCAGGAAAATTATATCTTTATATTATGTTATGTTGTATTAAATTATATTTGTGTGCATAGTCTTTATCCCAATGCCCACATCACATTATTCAACATTCCAATCCATAATTCATCATCCCAGTCCTCTATAAAAAAATGGCTGAATAAATAGATTCTGAATAATAGATGAAGAAAGACCATAATGGTTTATTCTCCAGTGTGCAAATGGGAAGCAGGGGGAGAGGGCTAAGAGAAGATATTTTGCAGCTGTTGCAATTACTGCTCAAGCAGAGAGAGAGAGAAGAAAAGAGAGAGACAGAAATAATTCGAAGGAGCAACAGAGTTTTTAAAATATGAAATTGTTCCTGTAACCATCAGATATTTCACTACTGAATGTCTGGTCGACTAGCAATTTTCACATTTCTGAAGGTTATATTGTTCAAACCGTTCAAAGGTTACTAAAAAAAAAATTCTCATTTGCTCAAATGCAAATACACTTCAAAGAGAAGAAACAAAAAAGTAATATCACTAGGTTGTTTAGCTTCCTTCTGGGACCTGATAGGTGCTAGAGATCCCTTTATCCAACATCTAAAATACTTATTTATGAGCTATTTATTAATCTTAGAAATATATTTTTATGATGACCCCTAGAAATATATTTATTTTATGTATTCATTCATCAGTCAGCATTTGGCAAACTGCTGCCATACGTCAGACTTGTGCTAGATGAAAAAATGCAATCCCACCCATGCAGAAACTGCAATCAATGGAAGGGTCAGATAAGTCAAGCCAATAATGCCTAGTCCATGATGAGTAAAAATGCATGACCACTGATGACTACACTAGAGTAGAGTATTTTATTACTAGGGTCTAGGTTAGAGGAAAACATAGCTGTGGGAGCACCAAGAAAGGGGAACTCACATAGATAGGAGTGGGTGGTTCAAGGGGAAGGAGTTCAGCTGCATGTAGAAGGACAAGCAGGTGACAGGCAGGCAGAGTAGCCAAGGCCTCTCTGTCACACTTGAATGATGGTATCTCATCTCCTATACTCAAAGAATACTGAGGTTACCAACGGATTGCTGGCATTGCCCAGGATGTTGGACCTCATGATTATGAAACTGTGATATCTTCCATCCTCAGGGAATCTATGGGGATGGCTCTCACTCACATGCCTTGCTGAGATCTTTATTCAATGTTTAAATCCATTAAAATTCTTCATTCCTGGATCTATATGTTTGGCAAAAGACTGCTGGACAAAAAAAAGTTATTACTCATTTTTTCTTTTTGAATGAAGTGAAGAAAATATATTAAAAAATCTGCTAGAGCTGGGATTGTATTCATCAGTTCAGACTAGAATTTCTACCGCGCCAAAAGGCTGGTAGAAGAGCCACAGGTCCTAGATTTCAGTAGGACATTATCACCGGTGTCTCATTTGACTCCTGGACAATGAGAAAATCATATTCATAAGAGTCCAAGCACCTGCTCTCTAGGCGCTTACAATCTATTTGGGAGATAAGAAAAATACAAAATTATAACAAAATGCACAGAAGTAAATGCTAAGTGCCCGTAAATGTAACAGAAGTTCTCACGAGTAAGAAATAGAGCAGTTGTTGAAACTGGGAGAATGATCCAACATCTCGAAATTGCAGCTCCCAGTGAAAGTGCAGAGAACGAGAGGAAACCACACTTTCAGACAAATTTTTGTCACTCATGGAGCAGAATATTCCCAGTGGAGGAGCCGCACGGGTCTCCAGCGCAACTCTTGTGGCCGACGCAGCGGTTTTGCTGGCACCTCGGCGCGGCAGCTCTTGGTGCAGAGTAAACGGGACTGGTTCCCCTTATGACTGACGTTTAGAGCTCTGGGAAGGCAGAGTCGCCTATTACGGACTCAAGAAGGAAGCCAGACTGGAGATTCCCGGGCAGAAAAGCACCATCAGTCTTAATGCTGCTGTTTTGGCCGGCGCAGCGGGTTGCTCATATTTCGGCCCTGGGAAGTAACAACTTGGACGTCCACTCAGAGACCTAATTTGAAAGTTGGTAATTACAAAGATGACAGGTGGATAAATTTACAATGACGGGAAGAAACCAGCGTAAAACGGCTGAGAATACTCAAAATCAGAATGCCTCTCCCTCTAAAGAGGATCACAGTTCCTCATCAACAAGGGAACAAGGCGTGATGGAGAACGAGTGTGTCCCATTAACAGAATCAGGCTTCAGAAGATGGATAATAAGAAACTTCTGTGAGTTAAAAGAACATGTTGTAGCCCAATGTAAAGAAACTAAGAACTTTGAAAAAAAGTTTGATGAAATCCTAATGAGAATAGACAACTTAGAGAGGAATATAAGTTAATTAATGGAACTGAAGAATACAATACGGGAACTCCGAGAAGCATGCACAGGTTTAAACACTCAAATTATTAAAGCAGAAGAAAGGATATCAGAGGTCGAAGTCCAACTTAATGAAATAAAACAAGAAGACAAGATTAGAGAAAAAAGGATAAAAAGGAATGAGCAAAGTCTACAAGAAATGTGGGACTATGTGAAAAGACCAAATTTACGTTCGATAGGTGTACCTGAATGCAACGGAGAGAATGAATCCAAGCTGGAAAATATTCTTCAGGATATTATTCAGGAAAATTTTGCTAAACTAGCAAAGCAGGACAATATTCGACCCCAGGTAATACAGAGAACACCACAAAGATATTCCTCAAGAAGAGCAACCCCAAGGCACATAATTGTTAGATTCACCAGGGTTGAAACAAAGGAGAAAATACTAAGGGCAGCCAGAGAGAAAGGTCAGGTTACTCACAAAGGGAAGCCTATCAGACTTACAGCAGATCTCTCAGCAGAAACTCCACAAGCCAGAATAGAGTGGGGGCCAATATTCAACATCTTTAAAGGGCAGAACTTTCAGCCCAGAATTTCATATCCAGACAAACTAAGCTTCACAACTGAAGGAAAAATAAAATATTTTATGAACAAGCAAGTACTCAGAGATTTTATTGCCACCAGGCCTGCTTTACAAGAGCTTCTGAAAGAAGCATTACACATAGAAAGAAACAACCAGTACTAGCCTTTCTAAAAATATACCAAAAAGTAAAGAGCATCAACATAAAGAAGAATTTACATCAATGAATGGATAAAACAGCCAGTTAACATCAAATGGCAGCAATCCAAAATTTAAATTGACTAAATTCCCCAATCAAAAGATACAGCCAAAACCCAACGGTATGCTATATCCAGACCCATTTCACATGCAAGGATACACAAAGACTCAAAACAAAGTGATGGAGAAAGATTTACCAACCAAATGAAGAGCAAAAATAAATAAATAAATAAAAAGCAAGAGTTGCAATTCTCGTATCGGATAAAATAGATTTTAAAGCAACAAAGATACAGTGGTAAAAGGATCAATGCAACAATAAGAGCTAACAATCCTAACACCCAGATACATAGAGGCTTAGACTCAATGAGACAGAAAATTAATAAGGATATCAAGGACTCGAACTCAGATCCAGAACAAGTAAATTTAATAAATATTTATAGAGCTCCCTACTTTAAATACACAAAATATACATTCTTGTCAATACCACATCACACCTACTCATAGGTTTAAATGAAATATTGATTAGCCATTATTAATACCCATTTTTTTTAGAATAAAGCAACATTTCCATTCTCTCTCCCTTTATTTCTTCCTCTCCTTCACTCCTTTTTTTTTCTTTCTTTCTCTCAAAAAAAAAAAAAAAAGAAAAGAAATCAACTTGTAGACCTCTAGATCCAGGTTGGCAATGTCTCTCTCACTGCCTGATTTCCTTCCTTCCCTTCTCTCCCTCCCTTCTTTCCTCCCTCCCTCCCTTCCTGCCTTCCTCCCTAAAAGAAAAAAAAAAAAGAAATAGAGCAGTTGTTTTCTTTTTAAGAATAGATAGGAGGATGAATCTGGAAGACACTGTCCTAAGTGGAATGAGACGTGAAAAGTAGAATACTGCATAATCTCACTGACACGCAGAATCTTTTTAAGAAAGTGAAATGTGCAGAGACTGAGATTAAAACCCTGTATCCTGGGGACTATAATCCTTGGCACAGTCCCAGTTCCTAAAGGAATGCCACTGGCCCTTGTAGAAGAAATCAGAAACAGAAATGACGTGAAGGTGTTTAATGTCACCAAGGAAAATAGAAACCACCTTCTCCCAGATATGGTGACGTGTGTGCCGAGCAGTAGGAAGTGAAGACACATTCCGCTTTTCTGCCCGTGAAGGAGTGCCCAGTTCACGAGGAGCCCGATGGAGCCTTGCCTGTCAAGGCTGTATGCCTTTGGTTACCAGGGGTAGGGTGGCAGAGACGAAAAGAACAAGGGCTGCAGGAGGATGATGTAAATATCTGGAGGAAAAGTTCCAGGCAGAAGGAACAGCCAGTAAAAAAAGATAAGAGAGCAACAGAAAAGCAGGCACAAGATTAAAGGGTCATCACTAACAGGCCCGTGTACTTTATATCTTCCAGACAAAAAAAATAGAGAATACTAGTAACACGCATGAGACAAATCCCCTCTCTGGCATTAGCCGGGAAATCTCACAGGACCTGATTTGCAGTCAGGTCTCTGATCTTGAGAGACATGTATTTTAGGTATGCTGGTTACATTAGGTTGAGTTTAGTGTCCTGTCCCCCAAATTCATGGCCATCCAGAGCCTCAGAACATGGCCTCACTTGAATGTTTGCAGATATAATTAAAGACCTCAATATAAAATCAACCTGGCTTTAGGGTGAAACCTAAGTCCAATGACTAGTGCCCTAATAAGAGGAGGCAACACACTGAGATACACAGAAGAAGGGGATATGAAACTGAGGCACAAATTGGTTGGATGTGTCTCAAAGTCAAGCCTCCAAGAGGCACCAGCCCTCCTCACACACACCTTGATTTCAGACTTCCGGCCTCCTGAATGGTGAGAGAATAAATCCCTATTGTTTCAAGCTATCCAGTTTGTGATAATTTATTCAGCTAGAAAACTAATATATCAGCTGTCTGGATTTGGTCACACTTATAACCGCTTTTTTTGTGATCAATAAATATGTAGTGGACATTTGCATTTATGCTCCTAGAATGTACTCCCCATTTTGTGGTTTAAAAATATGTTGGATTTGCTCTGGGGACGCCCCTTTCATCCAATCTGTTTTCCCCAGACCCAGTCTATGTGCTTCCAATGACATTGACTCAACCTCTAGTTCTAGGGACATATAACATAGAACGAAGTAGATGGGCACATTTTATCACACTGATGTTAGGGATCATTTCCAGCTAATGAGACAAAAATTGTATTTTTAGCTATTAGAAGGATATCATTTTTATTCCCATTGAATTTGAATCTGAGAGGCTGGGTTGCTGCCAGCACTCTGCCATGGCATAGCACTTGAGACTCCAGTGAATATTGGGAAGAAGAGCTGAGAGGTTACAAGAAATCCAGTCCTGGGGCAGTCACTTGACCTACAAATCTCACTGAGCCTAAAGCCCTGCCTGTCTCCAACTCCTAATGAGTCAATAAATTTTCTTTTTATTTTGAGATGAGTCTCCTAAAATATTCAATCATAAGATTCCTAAAAAGTAGACTCCAACTTGGTTTATCATCTTCATTGTTTTGGCTACTAAGGAAAATTAAGTGTATACATCCCTTACATCAAAACTGGCAACATGTTGAATCTAAAGTCCAGCTGCTTACCTTGTATCTCAGTGTCCCCCGCATCAAAGTGTGAGCAGAAGAAATGCCATAAATCTCAGCATATTTCGTACTGTCTCTGTTAGGATAGCCTTCCAAATTTAATCCTGGGAAAAAATCCATGGACGTCACAGCATCAAGAAAGGAGATGCCCCCTGCAACATTCACAACCTGAGGAACATTGAGAAGGCACACATGGGGTTAAGAGCCATTCCTTTCTGTTAGGACTTATCTGCTTCATGTGAACAGAGAAAGCAATAGAAATTTGAAAAAAAAAGAATGAAACCACCATAGTCATCATCCTACACTTAAGCTGTTCTACTAATATCATAATTCACAATGCAATTCTTCTCTCAAGCTTTAAAATTTCACTTTAAAGCTTTTAGTTTGTCTAAACATAGTCTTATTTTCATTTTTTTCCTTCCCCTGGATAAAATGGCACTAAATTATTTCCCACTAGAGTTTGCCTTTTTTAAAGAAATATATAACCTTTTTTTAAAAAAAAGAATTTTAAACATTTTTAATTTTTATTTTTTTAACATTCAAAAAAATGATTAAAAATAAACATTTATTATTTTACATAAAGTATTTTATATAAAAATGTTTAAACAATAAACTTAAAAAGATAAGCTAAAAGCAACAGATAATTGTTTAAATGGCTTCTATGCTCCAACGGCAATCAATATTCTCATTCTTTTCATTTTCCTACTTTTATGACCCTTCTGAACGCCACGTTAGGCACAGTCACAAACATTTCATTCATACAGCGAACAGTTCTGAGCAAAAGAAAGTGATCTACATGTCGTGGATCACACAAATTGTGAAGGCAATCACATGAGTGATGAAGTAAAAATCTTTTGATACCTCAGTACTTATCTCCCGTATCCCTACCCCCATCACACAGACTCAAAATACAATGAAGGATTTCTTAGTCTCTAATTTTAAAGAACTAAATTTTCTATTCGTCTATAAGGCTTGTTATTATCATTGAGATCATGGAAAGCATTCTGGAGTGATAACATTAGGTCTGAGAATTCTGGTTGGTGCTGCTGGTGGAACTGAATTTATTGTACACTGGAAACAATTTCTGATCAATTTCTCTGTAGTTTGTAGTATAGTTTGAAGTCAGGTAGCATGATGCTGACCAATTGCTCTAAAGCTGAACAAAGTAACACTGTACCAGGGAGCTGCCAATATACTTTAAGGTGGAGTCACAGGATCTCCTGAAGAGGTATTTGGCTAAACTTAAGGATTCTCACGCCTTACTTGGAGTGCCAAGCACTCTCTCCAAATTTAAAAATTTTAGAGTGAAAATCTAAATGAAGGATGTGAGGAATGCCTGTCATTTAATTTTCTTATGAACCCTTCTAGACTGCAGAGTAAACATTTCCAAAGGGATAGTTTTTGCTCTACTTCTTTAAAACCAATTTATTTAATAGAATTCTAAATTTTTGAAAAAAATCTAAGAAAGCAAATGTTGGGCATGGTGATGTACACTTGTAATCCCAGCTACTCGGCTTGGGAGGCTGAGGCAGGAGGATGGCTTGAGCCCAGGAGTTTGAGAATAGCCTGAGCAACACAGAAAGATACCATCTCGGAAAAAACAAAAAAGCAAATGTTGACCGTTAGGGTCTTCACACCCATCTCATTTCTATAATCTATGACAATTCTTAAGGTTTGTTTGCTTGTTTGAAGGTCAGGAAAATTTCTTAAAGAAAAATTCAATAAAGACCACAATATTCTAACTTACCAACCAGAAATAAAACAGCTGGTTCATAAATTTATTATGAAAACCTTACATTGAAGATGGAGAAATGTAAGCTGAGTGGCAATAATTCATTTAGTGAGGTTGGCAGTTGGCTAAGCAAACTGACCCAAAAATTACTGGGTAATCACTGTCATTTGGTATTAATTCATAGTTGTATTCGTAGTAGTATATCATATCGTCCAATAATAAATTCTTTCTTGTTTAATATTTTATTAATAATGTGATTGAAGACAGACATATTTGTCTGTTTTACAGAGAACATGCATTTCTTTCTGCTCTCGCAATGCTCAGGCTCATTATTCACTGCTGTTGCAAGCTTCTCTAGGTCCAACTCTTTCACACACACAGAGACAAACACAAATATACATCTCCCAACTATAGCGAATCACAGCTATATTCGAATAAGTATATCATATATATTCAAATAATCACAGTAAACTTGATCACTAAATGAATAAGAAAATATACAATCATTTCTTCAGGGCCCACTATGTGCCCAGTGCCTTATACACATTATATTTAATCCATGAAATAACCCATTTTTCAGAGGTGAAAATGAGGCTGAGTCACCCAAAGGCAAATTTGAACCCAGTTCTATTTGACTGCAACGTCTGTGTTTCTTCTACTAAACTGTTCCCTTAATCATGCTTATTTCTGGCTCAGTATTTTGAAAGGGATATTGACAAAGAACAGTATTCCAGATTATGCCACCTGGGATGCACCTGAAAGATGCATAAATAATGGGTACAGGTAAAGGAAGATAGTAGTAGCTCTTGATTCCCAAGGGGCTGGGTGCTGCAGTCAAGGTGGTGGCAAGCAATGGATAGAGGGCTAGAAAACTTATTTTAAACTATGTTTGCAGAGCAAGCATGTTTCTCACTTAGACTATACGTTTTGCCAGGTTAGACTGGGAAACATTGCAGAAGGTGATGGCAAGACTCTGCCATGTCACTCCCAAATGCCACCAGTGTGAGAAACTATACCACCACCACTTGTAAGGGGAATTCAACTAAGAGAAGATGACATCACCATCTCTGAATATGTGGAAGAAAATCAGAATTGTTAGGAATTAGATTAGAAGTTATAAATAGAAGAAGTTGCTAGTAATTACTGCAAAGATGTAAGATAATGAGATATGTCCTAATTCACAGGCCACTGCCCAATTTCTGGAAAAGTTTAAGGCTTTAATTTTAAGTAAAAGTCCAGAGAGGTGACTTGTTTTCCCCCACTGTGATTCTGTGAATCATTTAAGATCTGATCCATGGTGGAGGGTGATGATGGCAGAGGGAGTGAAGGGCAAGAATACAAGAGAGGTTTAGAGTTGTTTAACAATCTGGCTTAGGAAGCAGACTGATACACTTGAATTACAGAGTGAATAATGCAGCACCTAGAAAATTCTTAGACACAGACAAACAAAGTGTCTGACACTTTGATTCAGTTCAGACAGAATAATAGTGAACAGAGGCTGGAGTGGTCACGAAAAGCTTCATCCACAAGAGGTAATGCAAGTGGGACCTTGAAAAAGTATCATTTTAGCAAAGAAAAGAAAAGTGTCATGTTTTCTTTTGGTATCCTCCACAGCGTCAGAGAGATGCAAAAAGCATTCCTTTTTACAAAATAAGTTTAGGATGAAAGAGGAGAACTTCAAATGCAACAAATACAACTTCGGCTACCTGAAAATAACCTCTTGCTTTTCGTAAACTCTCACAATCATAATTTCCTTATATAGCTAATATTTGCTAGATTGATTACATGCCTGGCAATCTGATTTTAGGCAGATTGCCATCTAAATAACCTCACTGAGTAAGAACCCTGGAAGCTAGCCTGATTGTCCTTCTCTTCAGACGAGGAACCCACAGCTCACAACCAGCAACGGCAGAGCTAGAGCACAAAGCCAGGCTCACAGATATCAAGTTCCTCGTTCTTTCTTTTACGTGAGTTGCACTCTGCTGGCCCTTTCATTACTACCATATTTAGCATTTATAAGGCCTCCTAAAAATAAGTGCTTTATTCAACTGAAGTAATAATTCATCCTGCCTTCACATGTTAATTATACCAATCATAGGCCAGTCTCTTAAGATTGCAGAAGGTAAAAGGAGCTGTTGGAATGCAATAGGAGACAGGCTGATGCACGTAAAAGGATGTGTGGCTGGCAAAACATCAGACTAAGATTCTGCTCCAAACCTTCATGATTCATAGAATTGAAGAACTGGTAGAACATCAGTGCTCACATTACATATCAGGAAACTGACATCCCGTGGATCTTTTCAACTGCCTGGTCTTTGGCTGTGTTACGGTGAATGCCAGCAATTGGACCAGAACTCATTGATCCTGTTTATTATCCTGAAATATGTTATATATCATTCCAGCATCAAACTGAAGTTCCTGATTATTTAGTACTATTTTAAGTGCAGCTACAGTTCTCTGATCATTAAATCAGTTGTTCTTAAATTCAGCTGCATATTAGAATCACTTTGAAGATTTAAAAAATCTCCAAACCTGGGCAAATCAGAATTTTGGGGGATGAGGCCCAGGCATCAATACTTTTTAAATTCCTTTTGTAATTCCAAGGTACAGCCAAGTATGAGTCATGCTCTGTATCATAGGCACAAAAGACGATGGCTAATAATGGCATTTACCTTGTGGCTTAAGAAATTATTTTCTTCTACTCCTGAAATACATTTTGATTCATAGATACACTGACAATGTGTAATACTGATGCTAGAATAATCTTTTTAAAACACATCTATCTGATCATATTAATCATCCCTCCCGTAGGGTAAGGTGAGTGAGGTGCCTACAACACACAATTCAAAGAGGCACTCTGAGTCCCGTTACATTTTTCTCCAAACTACCAGCATAAGCTATTAACTGAGATAGATGTGATCTGGATACTGGCCATGCCACTTGCCAGTGTAGCTGTTATCTTAACTCCCTAAACCTGATTTTTCCCCTTATAAACCTGTCATACCATGAATGCTAACATCCCTGCCTAGCTGGCACCTTCTTATCCTTCAAGGCCAAGCACATCCTCTTTCTTCATTAGTTTTCCTTCTCCCCACCCTCCTTCCCCCAAGCACTTCACCAAGACCAATTAAACTGTCCTCCCATCTGTACCTCTGAAGTACTTTTAACATGCTTTCGAAATTTTCCCATTAGATTATAGTCATTTATTCCCGTGTCTATCTTTCCAGCCATTAAGCAATCTGGTAAAGCGGAAAAAAAGCCTTCAGAGTTAGACCTGGGTTTGATTCTCAGCCAAATAACCTTGGACATGCATGCTCTCTGAGCCACAGCTTTCTTACTGTAAAAATATGAAAATAATGCTAAACTCCGAGTGCTTATGTTCTGTTACATGGCAGCGTTTCTTTCTCCAACACACCAAACCCTCCATTCCAACAGCTAAACCCCATCCCCAATCTAGCTGTGAGTTTTTCCGAGGTCACAGACTTCATTCTCTATGACAGTCTGGAGAAACTTGCCCAAAGTCCAGCACATAGTAGGCACTCAGAAAATGTTCGTCATGCTGAAAAAAATCAAGAGATAACCAGTGTTTACATATATAGAGAAGTGAATTTTTGATTATCAGAAACAACGTGCAAGAAGGCTTGGGAAGACTAAGCACAGGCTTTGCAGGAACAGCAAGGAGACTGTGCTAAACAGAACAAAAAATATACACTGGGAAGTACCACAAGAAGAGATAATGGAGAGAGTCAGCATTGCCATTATTAAAGGGTTTGGAATCAGGGAGTGTTTAGACTGTCTCAGGTGGTTATTGCAGGTTGATTTCACTATGGCTGGATGAAATTCCTCACCTTTCCATTGAGCAGATAGGTGGCAGGCTGCATTACATTCATCAAAACTCCCACTGGACTCCAGCTAAATTTATATCTCAATGGATTGTTTGAATGTTCGGGGGCAGGAAGTCCACCACAGTAGGAAATATATGATTCAATCTGTAAATTAATGAATCCACAAATAAGGAAGAATTCACAACAAGTTAGAGAATATCTAAGTAATTAATTGAAGACAATGACATGAATGGAGTAGACTTGCTATAGTTTTTCATTCTTAAAGTTACTAAGGCTTTCAAAAATACATCCTTAAAGCCATATACCATTTGATTAAATAACAGTTGACTATATATATATATATATATTTAAATCCTCTAAAAATAATAACATTTTGTTCAGTTAAAAATTCAACTATTAGCTCAATTCTGTTTGGTCAGTTCCTACTAACTTTTGTATTCAAATTATATATTTGCACATATAAAGTTTTAATTATATATTTGCATGTTTAGAACATTCACATTATAATTTGAATACACATAAATGTAATTTATATATTTGCATAAATCATATATGCAAATATGATTTGAATACACACATACATATACAAACACACATTCAAAAAACCCAAAACACTTAATCTGAATCATGCCATTTACACCCAATAGTACCTTGTTATGTGTAAAAGATACTTCATATCAACAGACTGCTAATACCCAAAGATTCTCCTCACTTTTAAAAGTCAAACCTTATTACAGAATCTTCGAGGTAGTCTAAAATTTGTATTAAGCCAAAATTTTATAGTAGCATCTGTTTCTCCAGAAATTGGCTGCTATCTAAGACTTTGATATTGTTTTCCTATATGAATATTTCAGCAGTTATAAGATTTTATTTAAAATTTCTATTCAAAGACTGAGTTATAATATAGCAGCATCTTTAATCAAAGTTAAAGAAAGATTATTTCTGTACACAAGAAGTTAGACATTTTAGTGTTTCCCTTTGGGTATAAATTGGGCTCACCGTGGCTCCCACTTCCTTGGCTTTATCTATTGTTTCCATTGCTAACATGTGATCCAGACCAGGGTCCAATCCCAATTCACCAATGACTGTGATGCCAGCATCTTCCACACTGCAGCAGGTGGAAAGAGGAAGAAGAAAAACTTGGATATAAAATAAAAACAATGCCATGGATCCACTCAGCTTGTTTAAAATGATTAAAACTAACCTTTTTTCCAATTCTTTTAGTGTTGGTGTAATGTAGCTTGCAGTGATCATGTTAACTTTGTTTGTGATGCAAGCCTTGGCCACAAGAGGGTGCAATACATACGGCAACAAGCTTAAAAACAGGAAGAAACAAATCATAAACTTCCTTTTTCAACCCTACCTTCCAATGTACTTGAATTGTATTAAAGCTGCATTTTAAGGTACTGTCCTGATTAAATTATTATCTCAGAAAAGAAAACACTTATACACTGTTGGTGGGAATGTAAATTAGTTCAGTTGCTATGGAGGGCAGCTCAGAGATTTCTCAAAGAGCTAAGAGTTGAACTATCATTTGACCTAGCAATTGTATTACTGGTATTTATCCAAAGGAAAGTAAATCATTCTACCAAAAAGACACATGCACTTACATGTTCATCACAGCATTATTCACAGTAACAAAGACATGGAATCAACTGACATGCCCATTAACAGTGGATTGACAACGGGTGCTGTGGCTCATGCCTGTAATCCCAGCACTTTGGGAGGCCAAAGTCACATGGATTGGTTGCGCCCAGGAGTCAAGACAAGCCTGGGCAACATGATGAAACCTTATCTCGACAAAAAATACAAAAATTAGTCCAGCATATTGGCACATGCCTGTAGTCCCAGCTATTCCAGGGACTGGAGTGGATCAGGCGTCAATGTAAAGGCTATCAAAATGGCTAAAAATCCCCATGGTGAACAACAGATGATGCTGTACTCAAAGCTAAACTTTGATTGGATTTTCAACAAATTTGGCTTTGGTATTATAATTTGGTGCTGGGACTGCATAATCATAAGAAATTAAATTTTCATAAATATGAGTGTTATATAAGTGAGTATATCCATATTCTATTCTAGGAACAATAAAATACCCTGTCAATTACGTGACAATATTTAAGTTGTTTCTTATTGCCTAATTAGTAAAGCTGTTTACAATACCAACAACAAAAAAAAATAAAAACCAATATAAACAATATCACACTGTATCATTGTACTTGTCAAATTTATTCTACATACTTCATGTTTTCTCTAGATCATGAAAAACAAAATAAACAATAAAACCACTTTTCAGGCATTTATTCCTCCTCAGGTCAATAGAATCAAGTATTGCTATTGTCAGTATCAAGAGCTCCAGGTCTCTGTGTTTTTGGTGTCTTAATCCAAAAAGAATTACTGCTAACAAATTTGGTAGACTTTTAGAAACCATTGAGCAAAATACTTTGCAAAACTATTTGAATCAAATATTAATAGAAAATCTGCAATGTCATCATCTTAAATGTTAAGTAGAAATTTTTAAAACACATTCTCCATACTAAACTTGCTCAATCAAAATTTTACTAAGATCTAATAATATTTTTAAACTTTGACCTAATAATAGGGTAAGAAATATAATGGTAGGTCTTTACTTGATGGTACCTTTTTAGACGAAGGGATTAAAGTTCATAATTCATCTTGAATGTGATATAGTAAGCACTCAGTGGGACATACTCTTAAGTTATTTAAGTTAACTCCAACCCAATTACTCCAAAAGGTCGAAAATGTCACTTGTGAAAAATATACATAAAATACATGGGAATTTTCAAAGAAACATTGAAATCAATTACTACTTTATATTAAATTGTTAAAAGTTAAATTTGAAATATTAAAACTATGAGAATTTTACATATTACTATAAAATTTTTGTAAAACATATTCTTTAGTCATTTTTTATAGCCCCTATCATTGTGTTTATATCAAAACATTCTTTCCCCAACTTAAAATATAAAACAATTGGACAGGTATGGTGGCTCATGCTTATAATATGGTACTTTGAGAGGCTGAGATAGGTGGATTGCTTGAGTCCAAGAGTTTTAGACCAGCCTGGGCAACATGGTGACACCCCATCTATACCAAAAATATTAAATTTAGCCAGGCATGGTGGCATGTGCCTGTAGTTCCAGCTACCTGGGTAGTTGAGGTGGGAGGATCACTTGAGCCTGGGAGGTGGAAGTTGCAGTGTGCCAAGACTGTGCTACTGCACTCCAGCCTGGGTGGCAAAATGAGACTCTGTCTCAAAAATATATATGTATATTTAAGAAACACTATAGGATAACACTGTTTAATGGCATTACTATTATTCAGCATAGAAAATGCACTAAATGAGAAAACATTAAATATAAAACAGATTTTGCTAATGCCAAATTTTATTGAGTCCACTTACTTGCTAAATTTTAAAATTTGCACATATAAATAGATTGATGTCTTTGTCCATTATATTGTCACATTTTATTTCAGATTTTATCATGTTATTTACTTTTTTTAAAAAAATTAAAAAGTGATATATTTAACTACCCATGTGTGGTAAAATAAATTATTGTTCTACTCAGAAGCCTAGATCATTCTATTTTGAATCAGAATTTCTTTTCATAGTAATATCAGAGAGGGTCAGTTGGTCATTAATCAATTTTTTCTAAATAAAAATTAATTCCCATAAAATTTTTATAAATTGAGTAACATTTTAAGTGCATGAAGTGAGCCTATGTTTAAAGATATCAAGAGACAATGTAAAAATGCCAGCCTACAGAACTGCCTTTCATTATATGTTTTCCAACCTTGCTTTTTTTTTCCAAAGCAGAACATCATAGAACTTCCTCCAAAGATACAATTTGAATCTGATCTATGAAAGTGACTAGGTAATCATTATGAGAAAACAGATAACTTTCTTCCTCTCATCTGGAGAAATTACATTCTAAGAATTAATGACTATTCTCATCACTTTGTCATCTCAAAACCAAATGTGTTTATTTATTTATTAACTACTTTCAGGTTCAGGGGTACATGTGTAGGTTTGTTATATAGGTAAACCGTATGTCATGGGGGTATGGCACACAGATTATTTCATTATCTAGGTAATGAGCATAGTACCCGACGGTAGTTTTTTGATACTCACCCTCCTCCCACATTTTACCCTCAGGCAGGCCCTGATGTCGGTTGTTTCTTTCTTTGTGTTCATATGTCCTCACGTCAAAACCAAATTTAGTTATACAGTAAATCTCACGTAACTCTGTATCTAGATGTTAGATCTGCATTTTTGTTAGTTATACTCTATTTCAAGATTTGTTGCTATCATGAGACTTAAAATGGTCATAAGGCTAAATACTCTACTTTTTCATTTTAGTTTTATAAGTCCAAAGGATAAACAGACACTAAGTACATGAAACATGAATACCTTATGACCTGCGAATCCACTTCCAAGTATACATCCCACAGAAATGTGTAATTACTGTTTTGGTGAAATGGTCACCAAAAGTCAAATACTGAAATGTGTATAGCAGTGTGACTTATAATAGCCAAAATCCAGAAACAACCTAAATATCCATAGTAGTCAAATAAATAATAATGGTATATTCACATAATGAAATACTACACTGCAATGAGAATGAATAAGCTATCATTTCAGACAATAGCATAAATGACTCTCATAATCACAACATTGAATGGAAGAAGGCAGCCACGAATGAGGACATATTGAATGATTTCAATTATATGAAGTTTGAAAGCAGGCAAAACTATACGTCAGAAGCCAGGATAGTGTTTACACTTAGAGGATGGGTTGAGTGAATAGAAAGAGGCACCAGGAGGGCTTCTGGGGAATTATTAATATTCTGCTTCTTGATGTCACAGAGTGTATTGACTTTGTGAAAGTTCATTGAGCTATATACTTATGATGTGTGCCCCTTCTGGATCCATACTTCAATTTAAAAGTTTACTTACAAAGAGTACAAAGAGAGGAGAAAAGAAAAAGAAAGAGAAAAATAAGAGAAAGGAAATAACAAAAAAATGAAACTCATTTCTTGCCAGATACTGACCTGATAACAAGATCCTGTTTTGCCACCAAGAAGCCCAGCTTCTCTTCTTGTTTACAAATGTCCATGCTAACAGGATTGATATTATATTTCTTCCTTAACTGTTCAATTTGATTCCTCATGTCAGAGCCTATTTCAAGAATTAAAAGTCACATTTTTAAATATGTCAGAGTAAAATATATTTTAACATCTCCAACAATAAACTTTCAAATTTTAGAAACTAAGTGGTCTTCTAAAATTTAGAAATCAACATGTTATAAAATATATTTTTCTTCTTCAAAAACTAGGGCATATTTACCTACTGTTATTTCTATATTGTCGTCTCTTGATAAATATTCCAGTACGGGCTCAGATACATAGCCAGATCCAAGAACCAAAACCTTTTTCCTGGTGCCCATTGAAAGTGACTGAGCTCGTTCCCTATTAAAATAAAAAGAGGAGAAGGGACTAATTAAAATTGTATTGTTTTTAAATTATAGAATCTTGCTATCCTCAAACCATACTAAAACCTAGATAATAAAGCAACAATTTCTCTCCACATTACTTAAAATAAGGATCTCAATATGAATGAGTTCCCTATACCAACATATCTCTTTAACTATTTTACATTTTGTACAATGAAGAGCAATAGATCTGACATCTCTGAGATGTATACCTAGAGATGTATACATGTATTTCATCAATTCCCAGTATTACAAGTGAGGTACAGATGCTGGAACTTTTCTTGGCTTACTTATGATTGAGTAACTTGGTCTCACATTTTACCCTTCCAGAAGATGTGATTCAAAATCATGCTGGGGCTTTACCTTAGAAACTTTATTTATTCCTCACAACGATCCCAGAAGACAACACTTTGAGGAAGAGATTATTATTATTCATCATTGTTTTGTCATATCTTTAGGGTCACTTGAAAATAGTCAAAACCATGACTTTGAATCACAAATGTCATGGTTTAAATATAGAAACCAAAGACTAGTGTTAGGTATTATTTTAATTCTTGAACAGTTTATTCTGCTGGATTTATATTAATACCTTCTGGACAGATGACTTTCTTTCCCACAAACTATGACCTCAAAGGCAGCATCTAAGATTTACCCATCTTTACAAACCCATTAATGTTCAGCATATTTTGTCTTAAATATGGAATTTACTCATTAAATATTTTTTGAATCAAATTCTCTGATATCAACACGAAACCATGGAAACGATCTGGTGCCCTGGACTGAAGTACGCTCTGTTATTTAGACTCCTTAGGCTCTTTTAATGTCTCTTGAATGTTAACCCACAAACATTTTCATTAATTTTAAATAAATTTTAAAAAATACATATAAAAGATCCTGTCCCCCTAGACCCCCAACACACATACTACTGATGTGAGGAGGTCTCCTTTGACTAGTACCGTCATCCCGTTTCACCTCCCAAAGAGAGCCACTCTTATTCGGTTATTATATATTCTAACAATATTTTCTATCGTTTCTATAATTAAGCATTATTTTGATGTCCAAATACCAAACACTCAAAACAGAAACTCACTCCTAGATTCTAATACTGTCCAGCCCATCAGTATCCCCAGACCCCAGACTCCAGGCTAATAATCACTATGCTAAGTAATGAAAAGAACAGAAGAATAAAGGCAGGGTTCAATACACAGTAAATTTCCTTTCAAAATGCAACCTTTGCTATCAGTATATTGGCACAAGATTCCAGCAGGGAAAGAGGGCCGCAAGTCCTAGCAACTGGAGCCAAGTAAACCTGCTGCTACATGAAATATGACACATAAGAGAGAAGATACCATCACGACCAGTCATGTTGGACAGGTCATTAGTATCAGTAGTATGAAAGATCATCAGATAATGAGAATCAAAACAGAGCTATGAAAAACAAACAGATATGAAGTTTTATCCATAAGAAACTCTCCTATAGGGTTATAGAGCTAGCTTCTCTTTAAAAAAAAATTAAATACTTAGTGTCTAATGCAGAATATTTCACTGACACATTTAAAAGTAACTATAATCAATCAGGCGTGGTGGCTCACGCCTGTAATCCCAGCACTTTGGGAGGCCACAGCGGGTGAATCACCTGGGGTCAGGAGTTTACAGCCAGCCTGGCCAACATGGTGAAACCCCATCTCTACTAAAAATATAAAAATTAGCTGGCTGTGGTGGTGGGCACCTGTAATCCCAGCTACTTGGGAGACTGAGGTGGAAGAATCACTTGAACCCAGGAGTTGGAAGTTGCAGTGAGCCAAGACCACACCATTGCACTTCAGCCTGGGCAACAAGAGTGAAACTCTATCTCGGAAAAAGTTAAAATCTTTTAAAAAATAAAGTAAAAGTAACTATAATCACACCAGCACATATGGAAAAGTCCCAAGTATAGTACGCTTGATCTGGGCAGATCTCTTTGTTTACTGCTTGTAGGTAGAACCACTGAAAAAGATGGTAAGACAGTTGTGTTGTGTTGTTTTGTTTCCCCAACTCTGGTTTCTCCTGAGACTTCAATGGGTTCCTTTTTTAACGTGAATAGACCAGCAGAGTAGACATAAACACAGAACAAGGACAATCAGCTGGAGGAGACTGGAATGTTCCAAAAAAATAAAATCAACGTTTCCAAACTTTGGAGAGTAAAATCAATTAAGGAAACAAGGGCCTTAGCTAAAGACCTTTCTACGGTAACTATTCTCTTGAGTAGATTTGCTACATTACTTTTTGTCATCTTCCCCCAATAAGAATCCGTGGAGAAAACTGCCTCTTACTTTCATCAATTGTTCATTCACTGCTCTCTTAATTTGCAACCACGAATTCACTTTCCTAAACATTATATTAAACAAAAGAGAGTCCAAACCCTCAACTGAAAGCACCATGGGAAGGTTCGTGTGCTTATTTTCCTTTTGAGAAAATAACCAAGGCATGACCATGAATCAAAAGCTGGAGAAAGAACAAGACGCTACCTCAAGGACAATCCCTTTGGGTTTTTGCTTGCTTACTCACACATCTACATAGGATATTAGAAAGCCAAAATTATGCTATACTACTGTTTAGGGGGAAACAGCCACAGCGGTTTCAGCCAGCCACTTAGTTTGGATTACCTATGTTTTCAAAATTTATATATTGCATAAACCTAATATTAAGAACACTCATTAAAGCATTAAAAATACTCATCAATTCCCAGATAAGAATAAATATATAAAACAAGAGGATGTGATCAATACTTACCTGCTTTCCCGGAGTTTCTGGATATATTTATATTTATCAGGTAATGTACCGTTGGATGTAATCACTGCCTAAATGTATATGACACAAGACATTTTAGTATTTACATTTTAGTCCTACAAACATGGTCTTATGACTGATAGAGAAGAGACAGAATGGCAAAGATGGAGAGAGGGAGAAAGAGAGAGAGGAGAACAAAAATGGTAGTAGAAAAAAATACATTTATGGAAAAGATATTCTCATAACTTACATCTCTCACCACAGGAGAAAAATTTTGACTTTCAAGAGGCTGCGTCGCGTCTGATAATATCTGAAAGGAAAATGAGATTTGTAAGAGATAAATGACACCACAAAAAAAGGCCTCTTGGTGCTTGTATCCATATTGAAATATTAATCAGGGGAAAAAAGAATTTAAGAAATAGTTTTCTAAGGATCACCGAGATTGGTAATAGAAGTCTTCTACAAGCAATCAACTCTGCCCCCACAAGCATGATGTTTCAGCACAAGTTCCAATTTTAAAACTAATATTGGATTATAATCATCTTTGCTTGCTGTGAACACAAAAAAAGCGTATCCTTTCCAACCAGTTAAATGTATCCTATTAAGCATTTTGTCAAATATCTTTACAAGCTTTAGAGCTACAGTCCTCCCTTCAAGGGCCTCTACCCCATTCCACAGGTTCAAGCTGTTCTATTAGGAGTAAATAATGAGGTTTTTCCACTCAGCAAGGCTACCACTTCTGCAGTAAGGGGTCTCCCTCAAAATAGTATTAGTAGCTATATGTATAGGCACATCAGCATTTCAACAGTAATAGCCGAAGTGACTTGACCAAGTAGACTTTGAAAGTCATTCACACTCTCTTCACATTATCTTGCAAAACTGAGACACACAAAAAGTAAGATGTCTCATTTTAACATATCAGCACACTTCTAGTCATTCTCTTTTCTCCCAAGGAATCCAACTCTTGAGTATACTGCCAAAAAGTAATGGGCATATAAATTAATCCCTCTCAAGGGACCCAATTCTTGAATATACTCTCAAGAAATAATGAGAATATAAATCAGCATTGCTGCTTCTGGTGAACAGGGAAGGACCAATAAGACAATCTTTCCTCCCTAACTATAGGTTAAGATCTAGCTCACTCAGCCAACTAAGAACAAGAAAAACGTACCAGAAGGTGCTGGTAACAGAATTTATTTACTGTATTAAAATAAATAGAAAATTGTTTTCATGTATCTAAAGCATAATACATTCTAAAATAAATGGTAATTTGTAAAAGGTCAGTTCTCCAAAGAAATGAAACCTAGATTTCAATTACTTCATCCTAACTGAATTTAGATGAATTTCTCCTAACCTTTATCCTTGTCTATTCTCCTTCCCAAAACAAAGAATATATTATCTGGAGGAAAATTACATAACATCCTCTAATCATCTCTAAAATTTTGAATATGCAATGTCTAGTATTCAACCAAAAATAAATAAATATATTGAAAAATAAGAATTTACTGAAAACCATAAAAACCAAGGAAAACAACAGGGAACATAAATAGAACCAAGAAGTGTATTGGAATTCACAAAAATGAGTCTAAATTGTGATTAATATGTTTAAAAAATAAAAGGACAATATAGATTTTTTTTAAAAAATAGAAAACCTTTAAAATTAATAAATATAAATTTTTGATAAATGAAAAACATGTTTTAAGTCTCAGAAGAAATGAACATCCAGATACATAAAGCTCAACAATCTTCAAACAGAGTCAACCCAAAGAGGTCCCCTCTGAGGCACATTATAATCAGCTGTCGAAAATGAAAGACAAATGTATATTAAAAGCAGCCAGATAAAAATATCATGTTACATGTAAGGGGATCTCCATTAGACTATCAGCAGATTTCTCAGTAGAAATCCTGCAGACCAGGAGAGAATGGGATGATCTCTTCAAAGTGCTGATGCACAGAAAACTGTCAGCCAAAAATGTTATACACAGCAAAGCTCTCATTCAGAAGAAAAGAAAAAATAAAGTCTTTCCCAGAAAAGAAAAAGTTTAGGGAATTCCTCACTACTAGAGCTGCTCTATAAAAATGTTTAAGGAAGTTTTTCAAGTAGAAAAAAAGAACATTGCTAATATGAAAACATATAAAAGTACAAAATTAACTGGTAAAGGTAGATATATAATGAAATGCAGAATACTCCAATATTGCTATGGCACTCTGCAAATTATATGTATATATAACCCTAGGATGAAGGTTAAAATTCAAAACAGTCAAAAATAATGATTGCTACAATAAAGTATTAAGAAATAGGTAATATAAAAAGATGTAAACTGTGACATTAAAAAATATAAACTTGTTGCACCCAATTCAGAAAGGTAAAAAAGAAATATATATATGTACATATGAATATAAATTTATATATATACTATATGCTTATATACACACATGCTGGCAGGAGGGTAGATGTCTAGAGTTTTTTATGCAACTGAATTTAAATTGTTATTGGTACAAAGTAGTCTATTATAACTATAAGATGTTTTATGCAAGCCTTGTGGTAATCACAAAGCAAAATACTAAAGCAGATTTACAATGATAAAGATAAAGGAACAAAAATTTAGCACTAAAGGAAATCACTAAATCACAATGATAAACAGGAGAGGAAAAAAAAACAAGTAAGCTACAAAACAATCAGAAAACAATTAACAAAATGGCAGTAGTAAGTCCTTAACATATCAATAATTACTAAGGATCTAGAAATAGAAATTCCATTTGACCCAGCAATCCCATTACTGGGTATATACACAAAGAACTATAAATCATTCTACTATAGACACATGAGCACATATGTTCATTGCAGCCAAGTGTACAATAGCAAAGACTTGGAACCAACCCAAATGCCCATCAATGATAGACGGGACAAAGAAAATGTGGTACATGTACACCATGGAATACTACACAGCCATAAAAAACCATGAGTTCATGTCCTTTGTAGGGACTTGAATGAATCTGGAAACCATTATTCTCAGCAAACTGACACAAGAACAGAAAGCCAAACACCATATGTTCTCACTCATAGGTGGGTGTTGAACAACAAGAAGAAGTAGACTCAGGGAGAGGAACATCACACACTGGGGGCAGTTGGTGGGGGTAGGGGAGAGACAGCAGGTGATGGGGGAGGGAGGGGAAGGTGGAGAGGGATAACATGGGGAGAAATGCCAGATATAGTATGAACCTAAAGTAAAATAAATAATTTTTTTAAAAAAGATTAAATTGTCCAATTAAAACACAGAGTGACTGAATGGGTTAAAAAAACAAAGCTCTACTATTCACAATAGCAATAATATGGAACTAATCTAGATACCCACCAGGGGTAGATTGGATAAAGAAAATGTGGTGCATACATACCAGGGAATACTATGTAGCCATAATAAAGAATGAAATAGGCCAGGCACAGTGGCTCACAGTTGTAATTCCAGCAATTCGAGAGGCCAAGGTGGTCAGATCACCTGAAGTTAGGAGTTCAGGACCTGCCTGGCCAACATGGTGAAACATTGTCTATACTAAAAATATAAAAATTAGCCAGGCATGGTGGCAGGCACCTATAATCACACCTACTTGGGAAGCTGAGGCAAGAGAATTGCTTGAACCCAGGAGGCAGAGGTTTGTGAGCCGAGATGGTGCCACTACACTCCAGCCTAGGTGACAGAGCAAGACTCTGTCACAAAATAACAAAGCAAACAAACAAAGCAATGAAATCATGTCCTTTGCAGCAATGTGGATGCAGCTGAAGGTCATTATCCTAAGCAAATTAATTTAGAAACAGAAAACCAAATACCACATGTTCTCAATTATAAGTGGGAGCTAAACACTGAGTACACATGGACACAAAGAAGGGAACAATAGAAACCAGCATGTATGTGAGGGTGGAGGCTGGGAGGAGGGTGAGGATTGAAAAACTACCTATTGGGTAATATGCTCACTACTTGAGTGAGGAATTCATTTCTACTCCAAATCCCAGTGACATGCAATTTGCCCATGTAACAAAACTGCATATGTAGCCACTGAACCTAAAACAAAAGTTGCAAGGAGAAAAACAAATAAGCTCTAACTATGTGCTGCCCACAAGAGACATGCTTTTACCTTAAAGATGCACATAGGCTTTCATCCCTCAGAAGGGATGAACAAAGATATTTCATGCAAATCAAATATTAGCCAAGAGAGGCCAGGGGCAATATTTATTCCAGATAGAAAAGACTTAAACTCAAAAACTCTCACAAGAGACAAAGAAGTCATTATTAAAGAGCTCAAGACATTAAGAAGACAAAGCAACTGTAAATACATGTGCACCCAACATTTGAACACCTAAACATATAAAGCAAATATTGATCAATGTAAAGGTAAAACTAGCAAAACAATAATAGTAGGAGGTTTCAATACCCCCCTTTTTCAAAAATGGAAAGATAACCAGAAAGAAATTAATAAGAAAATACTGGAATTGGTCTGCACTTTAGACAAAATGGACCTAATAGATAAATACAGAACTTTTTATCCAGCAGCACCAGAATACGGATTCTTCCCTAATACATATAGCACATTCTCCAGAATAGACTGTATGGCAGGCCACAAAATAAGTCTTAACAAATTCAAAAACATTGAAATCATATTCTATCACAATGGTATGAAACTAGAAATCAATAACAAGAGAAACTTTGGGAACTACAAACACATGCAAATTAAACAACATACTCCTGATCAGTCAATGAGTTAATAGAGAAATTAAAAGGGAAAATTAAAAACTTCTAAAGACAAATGAAAATGAAAACACAACATACCAAAACCTATGGGATGCAGCAAAAGCAGTACTCAAAGCAAGTTCATAGCAATGTTTAAATGCTTATCTCAAAAAAGAACAAAGATCTCAAATAACCTAATGCTGCACCTCAAGGAACAAGAAAAACAAGAACAAACTAAACCCAAAATTAGAAGACACAAAGAAATAATGATGATTAGAGAAGACATAATCAAAATAGAGACTTAAAAAATCCAAAAGATCAATGAAATGAAGAGTTTGTTTGAAAAGGTAAACAAAATCAACCCCAAGTCTACCTAAGGAGAAAAGAGAAAAGACTCAAATAAATAAAATTCCAGATGACGATTGTTGGGGTATTGGAATGCTAATAATTTTTGTATGTTGATTCTGTATCCTGAAACTTTGCTGAAATTATCAGCTTAAGGAGCTTTTGGGCTAAGACTATGAAGTTGTCCAGATACAGAATCATGTCATCTGCATAAAGGGATAATTTGACTTCCTATCTTTCT